GGGAGATATTGTAAAACCAAAAAATACTAGATTGCAGTTTACACTATGAGCATCTGAGAAGCCATGTTTTGCACTACAATAAAAAACAATTATAACAGTGCAAACAGAACAATTCACAATGTGGAAGTTTAATCATGCAGACATACTTAAAAAAGTTCTTTCAGATAAAAAAGAAACATCTTTCATACAGTGGAAAGTGTGTATACAAATGCACAACTWTTGTTGTAAGGAGGTTATATTATTTTGATAATATAACAGAGTGAAATATAACAGAGTGACTCAACTCTGTTACTGCTTTCAGATGTCCAACACAACACTGTGYCTTTTAATAATCTACTGCTGCTGCCAACATTAAGCCTGTAAATTCCTATTATCATACTATTGCTTACTACAGTTACACCATTTCTCTCAAATTCACATCTTCCTACAGCTTCCTGTCTCTGTATGGGATCCTTAGTTCAAGTCAGGAACAACTGTTTATTCCTTTTTGACTATGTTATAGAGTGCAATCGAGGACCGGGCCTGGTAATGTCCTGCTGGTTGTACTCATTTTCTCTTGCACACATTCTCTTTGTAGGCAGTGCTGAAAAGACTTTTCTGTGAAACACACAGAATTTCTACTAGCTTAAGGCTTCTTGTTTTTGTTAGGTTTTTTCAGCCAAGGTCTTACCAAGTTCCATATTTTATGTGAACTTATATTTTAAATAATGTTTGCAACATATCTTTTTAAAATATCAGACTTTCATCAATGTCAGCTCTGATCAATCCTACATCCCTTAAAACAGACTTCCAAAATGCCTTGCAAAGCAGCTACCCTATAAAGTGAAACAGAAATTGAATATTCATTTTACAAAGSCAACACATGTGTTTGGTCACAAATACGGGAGTATTTCTCTATTATTTCCTTCTTTTTAAACTTGTAAAGTTTGATTTGAGAGAGTGCTGATCCCTATTCTGTGAAGCAAGCTAGCGTCATTAGGATGACAAAATCAAGTCTTATTGTGGCAAGAAGAAACATCATTTAGTGTCAACAACACACTGCTATTGATTTGAACTCCTCCTTGCCTCACGGGTGAAATAACAAGCTCCTACACACAGACTCTCTAAGCATACCAATAGAGGGAAGAGGCAAGAAAAATACTAAAAATGGCTGWATTAAAGATACAACAGGAAATATGTGACTCATGAGATGCAAATTCTTTTATCTGTATGAAACAAATTGAAGAAGAGCTTAATATGGCTTCTGCAATTTCTATGGAGTTAGATTAGAACAGAAATACACCTACCAATAATATACCAGATTTAGGCTTCCCAACCAGTATCTCCTAACTGTTCAGCACTCTCTGTGAAACAAGTCAGCTTCATTTTCATTATCTAATACTTACTAATCATTTTTCTAAAATGTCGCCTTATTTTAGCATCCTGGTTCACCATTTCAGCAGAAATTATCCTTTCACAATACCGGTAAGATCTCTTTAAAGCAGAGCTAAGAAACTGTCAACACAGACAGGTTCACTCTTTTCCTATTTCTGGMCAGACTCTAATTCAGAAAAAAATGTTTCTTTTTAAAAGATACAAAAAAKAATAAACCCATGGTCACGCAACATCAACATAAATACCACTTTGCACAGTGACCTGGTTTTGGCTGTAATAGGGTTCCTTTTCTTTAGTAGCTGCTACAGAGCTGTGTTTTGGATTTAAGAAGAGAATAATGTTGATAAAACACTGATGTTTTTGTTGTTGTTAAGCACTGCTTAGTCTAAGTCAAAGGACTTTCCAGTGTCTCATGCTCTGCCAGTGTGGAGGTGCACAAGAAGCTGGGAGGGAGCACAGCCAGGACAGCTGACCCAAACTGGCCAAAGAGATATTCCATATGTTCCACAGAACATCATGCCCAGTATATAAATTGGGGAGAGCTGACCAGAAGGGGCTGAACACTGCTCAAGGACAGGGGTAAGCTGGGTGTCAGTCAGAAGGTGGTGCGCAATTTCTTTTTCCTTTTTTATTGTTTTTCTTGGGTTTTATTGCTCCTCTCTTCCCCTCCCCCC